CCAACAAACGGCTCTGCAGCTATCGGATATAATAATTAATATTAAAATAAACCACATTTAAAAATTTATAAACAATACTTAATAATATTAATAAAAACCATCTTAATGTTTAATAAATATTTATACATCAAATTCTATGAAAAAATAAAGAAAAAAATGTTGAGTCAATAAAGGATATTTAAAAGAAAAAAATTATTTATATTTTAATTTATATTTTATACCTAAAAAATAAAATATGTACAAAAAATATTGAAAAAACAGGATGTATGTAACTTTGCCTTTTTTATTTATGGAACAATAAATAATAATTTTAAAAAATTTCATTCAACGATAAAAAAAAAATAGGAACTTGTTGTTGAATCCATTATAAAATTTATTTTTTTAAATAATAATAATTTCTTTTTATTTGTAATTGTATGTTTAATTTATTTTTTTAAATAATAATAATTTCTTTTTATTTGTAATTGTATGTTTAATTTATTTTTTTCATTTATAAAATAATAATTGAAAATATTTGGTATCGCGTAATTACAGAGAAACCATTACAGAGAAAACAATTATAGAGAAACTTTTACAGAGAAAACAATTATAGAGAATGTCGTTTATAGAGATTTATTTTACAGAGAATGATTTTATAAAGAATTTTTTATAAAGAATTTTATTTAAGGAATGATTATTTTATAAAAAATGTTAATCTATTTTGTATAAATTTGTGTAATTATTACTTAGGTAGGGTGCGCCTGCTTAAAACAGTTTTCTATATCAAATCCTAAATTATGCTATTATTTTTTTTTACATAATATTTTATTTCTAAAGATAATATTGGCTGAGAGATAGTAAAATAAATTGCAAGGGTTCTAGGAAAAACATTCAATACCTTACAGTAATATTATTACATCACTGATTTAAAATCAATGAAAGGCTTCAAATTACGGCCAAACCGTTTAGCAACACTAATAAGCCAAGAAGCCAGCTTGGGTCAACCGTTTAACAACACTAATCACAAATAAATTAATTATTGGCTTAAAAGTAGGCTTGAGTCACAAATTTTCGATTCAAAATTTGACTGAGTTTAGGGATAAGCCGGCATGGCAGCCAAGAAGCCGGCTTGGCTCAGCCGTTTAACAACATTAGTAAGCTAAGAAGCGGGTTTGGATCAGCCGTTTAACAACACTAATCACAAATAAATTAATTTCGGCTTGAGCTAACGGCTTGAGCTAATGGCTTGAGCCAACTCCTGAGCCGGCTTGAGCCAACTCCTGAGCCGACTCGAGCAAGCCAACTCAGCTGGCTCAATAAGCCGGCTTGAGTCTGAGTCTAATTTTCGGCTCAAAAACTGGCTGAGTTTAGGGCTAAGCCGGCTTGACTCAGTTTTTTAACAACACTAGATGGAACTTTATCTATTTAATGTTGGAGAGATTGCTAGAGTTAAAAAGCTTTTGCCAAGAAATATCGCTCCAAAGCGATCGCGAAAAATGTTTATTGAGAATGAATGGAAAATAATTAGTGACATATTAAAAGCTTTATATCCAGCTTATGTTTTGACAAAATATTTACAAAGTGAACAATTGACAATGGGCGATTTTTATGCTGCGTGGATCAAATGTCTCATGCAAACGAGTAAAGTAGACACTCCATTTGCAAGATTTTTAGTTTCTACGATGAAAGCACGAGAAATAAATTTCAAAAATGAAGTTTTTTGCTCTGCTATTTATCTCGACCCTAGATATAATGTATTTTTTAACTTTTGAAGAAAGAGAGATCGCCAGAAAACATCTTTGTAAAACTTGGAACTTGATACAAAATCTAAATAATCAGAAAATTGAAATTCTAAATACTATGCCTACGTGTTTCGTATTCGAAGGATAATTTAGATGTTGATTTTGAAGATTTATTAAAGTCGCATGAAAGTCTTATTAAGAATAATTCTCAGGGCATCGAAAATTATAATAAATGTATAGAAATAGAATATATAATTCCGTCATTTGATAATATAGAGAGATTAGAAAAAGATACTAATCTTTTGAATTATTAGGAAAATGTAAAGAATAGTATGCCAGAACTTTATAAGTTAGCTATAACTGTGCTAGCAGTTCCAGCTACGCAGGTCTCCGTAGAAAGAGCATTTTCAAGCCTTAAGTTTATACTCTCTGCGCAGAGAACTAAATTAAATCGAGAAATATTAGAAAATATTTTAGTTATCCGTTCGAATTCTCTTTTTAAACCTAAATAGTATAGTATACATATTATTTTATTCATTATTGTATTTACGCATGTTTGTTTTTATCTTATTTATTTATGAAATAAAAAAAAACTAATTTGTCTAATTTATATTTCCTAAATTTAATAAAAATATCTATTAGATTATCATGGATAAATTAAATAAGAAATTATAAACTAAAAAGATTTTTCTCTAAAATTAATATATACATGGTTAATGATTAATTTTTTTAAAATTAAATTTATAAAAACATAAAAGAACCGTTATAAATTATAAACCGAACCTAACTGATATGATTTTTTTTAAAAAAACCGAAATGGAACAAAACCTTTATAAAATTTTAAACTAAAAACCGGAACGAACCGAACCGTTATACTAAACGGTTCGAATCCCTGATTATAACGCTAAATCACCTGTTAATAATTTAAAATGGCATCGCATATGGATATCCAAATCGTTGAAAGTGAATCAGAGTCAGACAATGATATTAATGAAATGGAAGATACCAGGGAAAAAAATGAAATTCATAGCAATATTTTCCCATTCCCTAGATTTCAAAATTTTTTAAAGATAAATATTAAAACAAAAACTGGCTTCAAATTTATATGTTTAAAGTGTAAAAAAAAATATTTCCTCAAATCAATCCAGTAGCTATAACCTAAAGAAACACCTAAAGGTAAATTATCATTTTTACATAAAATAATAATATTTATTTTAAAAGACTGTTCATGCTAATAGTTTTAAGGAAATTGAACAACATTTAAATAACTTTGGCATAGGTGAATCTACATCCAAAATAACTAATTCCATTCAGACAAAATTAATTAATAATACAAATGCCAATATTTCTCAGAAATTAACTGATAAAGTTATTGTGGATTTTATAATTGATACAGTTTAGCCAATGTCCCTGGTTGATAATCCATCATTTACTATGATGATTAAAACTTTATCACCTGGTACAACTATTTATGTCGCCAGACACTTGTGAATAAAATAGCAAATAAGTTTAAAGTGATGAAAGATGCTTTAATAGTAGAATTATCGAGATATCTCATATATGTACCACGGGTGATAGTTGGACACAACAATGTATATAAGATTAAATAATCTCTTGCCCTCAAGTGCTAGTGTCAAGAGATTATTTAGTAAGGCAAAACTGATACTTTCTGATCATCGCTCTAGACTTTGGGATGATAATATTGAAATGATTATATTATTAAAATTCAACAAATTACCATAAATATTTAAAATTTATTACATAAATTTTTTTATAATCAAATTAACTATAAATTAATATTTATAAATGTTGATTTTTATATATTATTTACTATACAATTACATTATATGCAACATAAAAAAAAAATTGTTTCTAAATTTTTTTAATAAAAAGTAGCCTAAAAGTAGCTAAAGCTACTTTTTAAAAATAGTAGCTAATAGCGAGCTACTTTTTTTGACAAATAGCGATAGCGGTAGCGCGCTACTTTTAAAAGTAGCGATTAACAACTCTGCTACCAACTATCGATATATTGTGAATATAAAGAATTTATTTTTTAGATAATAAATTTAATTAAAACCTCCATTATTTACAATGAATTAATTATTATGGCATTATGAGCTTGCTGAAATATCTAAACTTTATTTGGAAAACAATGTGTATGATTGTTTGCAATATATAGATTTGGTCGATGAATTTTATTATTTTATTTCTATAATAAGTATTAATTTTTACATCAATAAATTTTGTCCTATTTCATTAAAAATTTAATAGATAACCCCCCAAAAATTTTATCCTACCCACATTAAAGCAGCCTACCTACCCCCCTCAAAAATAGGATGATGCACACTGTTCCTACCCCTCCCGCTCATGTAGACGCTGCCAGGCCTAAATCGAGAAGAAAGGCTTGTTCTCCTAATGAATAGATCTTTTTATTTGCTCTCGATTGAAACTTATTATTATATTACTAAGTTCAACAAAAAAAGTTAAAAATAAATGAGTTTTTGATCTTGGTCAAGTCCTCAGGTTTGACCTTTAGCCTGTGCTCCAGATTTCTGCTCAGAGCAGTTCTAATCACCAAATTGGGTGGTAAATTTAAAAAATAAACAAATTAACAAAACTAAACAGAACAAATATTTTATTAATTATTAATAACTAATTTGAAATACTTGTCCGATAGTCGACTTAAGTTGGCGATTCGAGTTCAAAGGAATTATCCGTCATATAGTCGACTCAAATATATAACTCTTCATGCCTCAAGTTGGAAGTCTAAAGTATAAATATTGTGTTAATTAAATAACTAATTTGAAATACTAGTCCTCTAGTCGACTGGAGTAATTAACAACTAATCGTCTCTAGTCGGTTAAATGTTGCTTGTTAAATAATTGCACAATAATACTAATATGAAATATTCGTCCTCTAGTTGACTTAAAATGACGACTCAAGTTCATAATAACTACTAGTCATCTAGTCGACTTAAGTATACAACTCGTATTCACGATTCAAAGTGCTTAAAGTAAATATAAATATTTTGTTAATTATAATAACTAATTTTAAATACTTGTCCTTTAGTTGGCCAAATGTTTGTTAAATGATTCTACAATGCTAATTCGAAAAATTCGTCCTTTAGTCGACTCAAGTTTACGACCAAGTTGAAAACTCGTGGGTTTTCAATAAAATATTTAAATATAAGCGTAATATATACTATACCAATCTATGTCATATAAAACAAAGGTTAATATTTTGTGTCTACTAATTTTGGATTTATCGAGTGTTATATAATTTTCCCTATTTAAATATTTCCCGTGTAGTAAACATAAAATGTCCAAATTTTTTGCACAAGTAGGACCTGATTCGGAAACCGAAAGTGATGAGAGTGAAATACAGCAAGCTCCATTGCAAAAGAGTGCTGTTACAAAGTTTTAAAATATATTTACTTACAAATGTTAAATTTACTTAATTAGAGCTTTTCAACTAAGTGATGATGAAGAAGATATTAAAAGATTAGTTAGAAGTGCTAAAGATAAACGTGAAGACGAAATTCTTGGTATAGCCAAGCAAATTAAAAATCACAAAAAAATAAAAGACATGTGCAAAGTACTCTCAGGTATATGAATATTTTATTAATATTAAACAAATTTATATAAGAAAACCTTATATTTCTTTAATAATGACATGATCAGTTTTGTAGTAATATCGAAAAATGCCATATTGAATCTGTAAAAATTTGTAGGTTGGTACTGCCCAATAACTTAAAAATTTTATTGATGTAAATACTGTATTAGCTTGGCATTCTTTGAAAACTAGTTAAATTGGCAAAAAAATTTGTAATTAATTTGGTTGAGTAAGGAAAAAATATCATATTAAGGTCATTCCCTATCAAATATAATACATCACCCACCTCTTTTTGATAAAAATTTGTAAACACTTCCTATATGTCCTCATTAGATTATATTTTTTCTAGCTCGTTATCAATTTATTTATATACCTTTTTTCTGTTAAATAATTTGTTTATTAATTAAAAACTAAATCCATTTGAATATTAATTTGATTGATAACTAATTTAAAGGAAGAAAGGGTTTAATTTTTTACAAACTCATCTCAATTCTCAAATGATTTAAATGTTTAATCTAACTAGAACATTGCCTACAAATTTGACAAGCTGCATCAATTAGATAAATATATTTTTGATCAATTTTTTCCAATTAATTAGAAATTTTAAAATCCATTATAATTATTACTAAAGCTTAGTTAAAGTATTTGATTTGGTCATTATCAAATCATTAGATAACAATTTACTTGCTTCTTAGATTTTGAAGATTTACAAAAAGTGTATGCAAAAGCCAAAGGAGTCCTCGATGACAAAGATGGTAGGCCACCAACAACATTTTTGAAGTGCCTGACAGAATTGGAAGATTTTATCAATGAGATTTGGGAGGACAAGGAATACAAGAAAGCTATGAGCAAAAACAATTCTAGGGGTCTATCATCCCTCAGACAAAAGCTTAAGAAATATAACAAAGACTATGAGCCCTTCCTTTTAAGTTTTAGGGAGAAGATTAAGGAAACAACCACCAAAAGGTCTGTTGGTGCTACTCGAGATGACAGTGAAAGTGGTGAGGATGATGGCATTCTTTACGATCAGGCTTCGGGTGATGATGATAAGATTGGAGGTTGCCCATTTTTTTCTATTTGGTCTTATTAAAACTCAAAATGCCAAAAAATGGATGGGTTTATAGACCTAGATTAGACCTAAATAACATATCCATTTTTAAATTTATTTTGTTAATTAATGTCAATTTACTTGTAACCATTTTTAAAATAATAATTCATGTTATGAATCTTTTTAAACTTAAATTTTTTTAAATTTTGCTAAAATTTGGCCAAAATTATTTAGAATGACCAAATTCCAAAAACTAAGAAAAAACTCAGATCAGACTTGAGAATGATGCTATTTTAAACCTGTTCACTCAGTCTGAAAATTGATACCCCTTTAATTTCTATCCAATCTAATATTTTAACAGCTTTTATTTTTTAGCTAAATATTTTTTTTAACTTAATTCCAAAATTCCATTTTAAATATTTATTGACACTTTTTCTATATTGACTGCATTTCTATGAACATTACCATTGACTATTCATCTTATGGAAGCTTCTCAACCAAAATATTTTTTTAAATATAAAGTGAGTTATTTATTAATCTTGTTTTACAATATTGACAATTTTATAGATTCAAATTATAAACTTAATTTAAATATAAATAAATAATATACAAATTATAAAGGTCCTGGGAAAGAATTGAAAGTGAAAAAGGTTTCCAAGATTCCACGTGAAGTAAATATTTCAATATAGTTTATCAATTTACGCATTGACTTATAAGCATATCTAAACTAATATTATTTTTTTAAAAATAAATTATCAACTACCAATAGGATGATGAAGATTCAATCGACTGGGGTCAATCTGATTCTGAAGATTCCTATTTGAGTGACGAAGAAAAATATGCCGAAAATCCCTCGGCAAGATTTCTGAAGAAGTAATTATTTTTCTTTTGTCAACTTTGATATATATTTTTGTATCAGTTCCAAAATAAAATATATTTTAGAAAAATATGTAGATACACGATTCCCTAGTTTTCTCTTGATTTTAATATTATTTATATAATTATATATTAAAAAATAGCATAATATATAAAACTATATTAAATGTAAAAAAATTATTTTTAACCCTTTAAAGCTTGACTTTTTAATATAAAATTAAAAAATTTTTAAAATCTTCATTTATATACACTAAGAATGTAAAATTTTTATTTCGACTTTTGTTTCATAGTTTACAGGTAAAAAAAAATCATGATACAATTTGACATCATGAGCAAAATATTTCACACTTGAATATCCGCTAACACATAGTTTATACCTTTTTCGAGTTTTGGATGCTTCTGGCCAATGCCCTATATTATCGTATCTAACTTCTGATATTACCTGAGGTAACCTAGATCCTTTTTGTAATTTAGGAGTTTCATTTATAGGTCTCCCTATTTTTCTTTTATTAATTTTACCTGCCATTAATAAAGCAGTAACTATTTGAGATTTAAATGTTATAAGTTTTATAAAAAAAATTTTAATTTTTTGAAGTAGTCTTCATTACAATAACCATGCATTCACAATGCATGTATCTATCAAATGGAATAACATGAACAAATTTGTTGTCAAACCATTGACAATTATTATATTATTAATGTCAGTTTTGTAGTTGAAACTACCTCTCCCCTTTTTCTTGAGATCGCAATCGCTTTTCGAATTGCAACCTAATTGGATTTATGTGGAGTGCATTTGTGGATGAATCTATATCCATATTGTCAATAGGATGGTTTAAATTGTCCTCACTATCAATATCTGTTTCTGAAATATAACCTTCAATTATAATTATTTTATTTTACATCTGTAAAAATAATATATAAATTCAATGTTAATAAAATAACTTATTCCCAATGAATTAATTTGGGATCATAATTTTAAAATTATATTTACAAAAATAATTAAAAAAATATAAATTCATGATGACATACTTGAATATTTTATCTTCTTTATATAATAAACAGTTTTCAGAATTTTTCAATTAAAATACATATAAATAATATCAAGTAATTTAGGAAAAAAAGAAACGGAAATATAGTCAAAAGTTAAGTGATAATAAACTAAAAACAAAAGCATTTTTTTTTGATTATAAATAAAATACTATTTTTAGGAAAAAAAGAAACGGAAATATAGTCAAAAGTTTGATAATAAACTAAAAACAAGCATTTTTTTTTGATTATTAATAAAATACTATTGAATACATTATATATTTATTTTAAAATGTTAAATTAAATCATTGAATGGTTTTAAACGTTAAAAAATAGCATGCAATAGATGATGTCAAATTAGGTCACAGGACTTTAAAGGTCATAAAAATTTTTTTTTATGAATATTTCATAAAGCCTTGAAATTTCGCTAATAGATGTCCAAACCTTTGTGCTATCTATGAACAAAATCTTCAGGAATATGTTATTTTTTTTGGATAAAATATCAAATCGAGCCGTTTAACAACACTATTTCAAATATGTTTTATTTTTTAGGCCCAGACTTAAGTCCATATTTGTTTTTATATATTTTTTTTTATCCCCAACACGTTATGAAATATTCATAAATTTTTTTTTTATGATTAAAAATAATTTTTCACTAATAGATGTCCAAACCTTTGTTCTATTTCTGAGCAAAATCTTCAGGCTTATGTTAAATTTTATGGATAAAATAATGAGTTAGCCGTTTTTAAAAATCGGCTCAAATCGAGCCATTTTAACAACACTAATTTGAAAAGAAAAAATGTCATTATTTATGAAATATGTCTACCAATTTTTTTTATCGATTCTTTTTTATTACTGAAATACATGTTAAAATTAGAGGTTAAGAGGACCCCACCTCATCCTTCACAAACAATTTTATCTTTTCTATCTCACCTCGAAAATCATTTTTTCCTATATGTAAATAATAATAGACTGATTTTTAATTTTTTTTTAATCCATTCCAATCTGATACCTATTGGAAATACCTGTAATAGAATCAATTAACTTTGAAAATTAAAGACAATTGGTAATAGGATTAATTGTAATGATATATATTTGTTGTGTATGATGATCAATTCATGTATTAATACTGATTTGTAAAAGATATATAAACTGAAGAAGTTAATTACAAAAACATAATAAATTAATTTAAATATCGTGCATCTCTAAATGTATATATAAACCAATCATTTATCACGAATTATGTTTTATTTATTTTTATATAATTAGTAAATAATTATATAACAAATAGTTATATAACCCTAAAAATCAAAAACTTAGGAGCACAATTTTTGTTGAAAATTTTTGGTTTTGAATTATTAAAAGAATGGCTTCTCTCTTTGATTTTTTATGAACTAATTAATTAAAGATAATTATTATTAGAGGATTAAAATGAATTTCATCTGCCTACAGATCTAAGAATTAAATATAATTTACAAATATTTTCAGGTTGTGTTTTATTATATTATATATAATAGTTTAATTATCCCTTGTTATTTTTTTTAAAAAAAATATATAAAGGCAACCCGATGATAAAGAGAAGGATAAAAAGAAAGAGAGGGGCGTTAAGTCCAAACCTTTACCTAAGAAAGTAGGAGGCATTGGCGACGACAATGAGGACGCAGGTGATGAGCAAGACGAAACGGATAAAGGTAAATGGGAATCCGTCACAGCCAAAGGAGGAGTCTCCAGAGCTACCTTCAAGGTTTAATAAATACTCAAAAATATAATATTTTATTAGTATTCAGAAATGCATCAATAGAATTCTTTGCGTTTTTATAACCAATACTACAGCAACCATCTTTTATATTCATCAATTTTTATTTAGAAAATAAATAAATAAAATATATTATTAATGTTAAACGTAATTAAAAACTTATGAATTTAAAATGAATTTTTTTTTTCTTCTTAAAGCTGCATTTGTTTAATGCATTTAATAAGTCAATTAATTAACATTATCTTTTGAAAATTAAGGTAACTAATGTAACTGTTAGATTTAAGAAATGAATCTATGTAACTAATTTGGACAATATAACTATTACAACTATTCATTTCCACAATAAATTTTCAATTTTTAATTAAAGCCATATAATGTTTTAAATTCTGGAAACTTGTAGGAATATTATGATTTTCCAAATGATTAAATCTTTAACGATTTCCTAATTAATATATACCTACCTTGTTTTGTAGATGGATAATTATGAACAAACTTGAGAGTTTAATGACAATTATATTTTATCTCCCCACTTTTCATTTTTACACTATAAAAGGACAAAGTCATTCAAATTTTTTCACCTGACGAAGAGATAACCAGATCGTCTATCCTTAAAAAATTGAACGATATTATCAGCACTCGAGGGAAACGAGGAGCTGATCGTTCCGAGCCCCTCCTAATGCTCCAAGAGCTCTTGAACATAGCATTGGCTCATTCAATGGACACTCCCATTGTCGTCAAAATCATGTTTAACCTTATAGCTTCCTATTTTGATTACAATCAAAAGATTTCCCCCTGCATGAAAGCTGCATCTTGGAAGAGGTTTATTTTTGATAATCTTTTGATGGTTTTGTACATTATAATAAGTCATATAAAAACTCTTAATCTTTTAATTAGACTTCAATAAGTTAATATCATGTATGATTATTATAATTTGTAGATTATTTTAAAGTAAAGAATAAAAAGGGATTTTCTTCAGTTATTAAAAATTTATTATAAAGAATATAAATATTGCTTTTACTATTAAATAATTTAGAATTTCTCAAATGTAATAGTTTTTCATTGATTGCTATTTTCAATTATAAATACTCAATTACCATTACAAACAATTTTGTATATTAACAGTTGCTTGGCAAATTTGAAAGAAATTATTAAATTGTTGCACGACAACCCCAATATTAAAATTGGCATGCAAGTTAACGAGGAAATTGAAGATGAAGAGCTTCAAGTAATTTTACTGGATATTATAATCTATTTTCCTTTCTACACAAATAATCAATTTTACTAAAATTATATACAGCCTGACAATAAAGGCAAAGTTATCATTAAGATATGTGTACTCTCCCAACTGGAAATAGCTGATGAGGAATTTACCAAAATCTTGCAAAACTGTGATGCCCATAGCACAGAATATCTTGACAGGTATTTTACTTTAAAATATTATATTTTAATCAGTCCTTTTTTTCGCCCAAAGACTTAAGTTTGAAAAAATTTAGAATTTTAAAAAATTTTTATAGATTGTTTTAAATGGGATATGAGCAGTAAATAAATATTGTATTAAAATATATTACTATTATCATTCATATTTATTTATACTTTCATATTTCTAATACTTAGATTTTAAACGATTAGATCTATTCGACTCACCCTTTAAAATACCAAGGTATCAAAGAATTTAAAAAAATTATTTTTCTTTTACATTGGTATAAGAATATTTATATATCAAAATTCCAATTTTATTGTATGATTTTTTGAATGTTCCAAAAATCAAACATTGGGAAGTAACGAGTTTATTTTTTGGTGATATAATTTTGAGCATTTTATATAAATAAGTACATCATATCATACTTATATGTCATATATTTTGCATCTACAGCTATCTTGACGATTGACTTTAATTGGCATATGACTTATCTCTACCTCTCAGATTGAAAAATTGAGCATCTTGATGGGACAGGGCACTATCGTTTTTCAGGTGCATTTCTAATCAAAAACCGCACTTCTGAATAGAAGATGCGACATATTTCCACCAGAAGAAATGTGTATTCTCTAAGCAGCTATAACACATAAATTATTAAGTTAGAGAATAAGCACTACCACTATTTTTTGCTGGGCAGTCGAGGGCGATAATCACTCAAAAATCTAAAATAAATCAACACTTACATATGTAGATTATATATGGTATCAATATATTCCTTATGTTTAGACTCCATTGCTTGTTATTTAGAGGATGTATTCTTTGGTAATTGCTTACCACTGCTACAGGAGAAAATCATTCCAATAATATAAAGCAATTTTTCATCGAAGGTTTCATAAGATCCTCTCAGATTTTTTTTCATTAGTTTTTAATCCAATAGACATTTTTCGGTTCGATTTATGCCGATTGTTCCTGACAACATAAACCCTTTCTGAATTATCAAATAATAATGCATGTTCTTGAAAATTAGAAATAATAGCCGTCAATTTTGTCACTAGTCTTTCACTAAGAGGACTAGTTTCATTGTTATCTTCTTGATACAACAAAAGTAAAAAGATATTCACAAGATGAAGATAAAGCACAAACTTTTATGCTAAATTTTACTGGCTTTCCACACATATACATCTTTATAACTTGGTTTCTATCAGGGGTTTCAATCTATAAAATCAGATTTTTATTAAATGTTTTGATATAAATAAGAATTTTAACAATTGTTTTTCTTTTTATAATCGTTTATCTATATATATATTTGAAAAACAATTAGATTAATTCAAAGTTATACCCAATTAACGTGTCTTTCTATAATAAAAGGTCACGTGATCGGAGATTATATTTATTATTTACAAGGCGGTTTATTGATCCTAAAATATAAACATTTTAGGTTGAAAGACGAAAAAACTCTTTGCTCTTTGTTCGACCAATTGCAATCTTACCTTGAAATACATGGTACTGCTAACGAAATTTCCCGTATATATCACAGACAAGTTGAGCACATGTACTATAAGGTAGGTGTATATTTTTTATTAATATTTATTTTAATATATATAAATAGTGTTGTTAAAGATAAAATAGCTTGAGTAACCAGAATAATTATATTTTTATTCGAATTTCTCAAGATTAATAAAAAAAATAATCATATAAACTAAACAATATTGTTTTTTGAATGACAGCCATGGCTCGGAAAGCTAGGGGCTACAGGTAGGCAATAAAAAAAGATCTTTGATCACTAGCGGTATGCGATATCCGCTTAAACGGCATTATCTCACACATCTTATCAATATAATGTGTTATTTTCAGTACATTTCCTGATTTTTTTTGGCAATGTGTTATAGTGGTAAGTAGGGTGAATTGATTATTCTGTAAATGTATTTATTCTATTATACAAATTAAGAAATTTAATATTTATTTGAGATTAATTTATTAATTATTTGAAAGGAATTTATTATTTATAAATTAATTTATTTAATTTATAGATTTTGTTAAATTATTTTTTAAATAAAATTTTTAAGATGGTTAAGGTTTTATAATCTTATGGTATTTTTTAAAATAAATTTTTTGGATGGTTAAAGTTTATTGTACCTATATTATTTTTTAAATATATTTTTTGAGATTTATTTTGATGTGTTTTATTTTTATTTTGAGATTTATTTTGATGTGTTTTATTTTTATTTTGAGTTAATTTATTTTAATGGTTATATAATTTTTTTACTATATTTTTTGAGATAATTTATAATGATTATATTATTTTTTCAATTTATTTTTTTTATATAATTTATTTTAATGGTTATATTTTTATAATATATTTTATTGAGATAATTTATTTTAATGGTTGTAATATTTTTTAATATATTTTATTATATTATTTTTTACACATATTTTTTGGGATATTTATTTTAAATTGTTATATTATTTTTTTAATAAATTTTTTTGTGATAATTTATTTGTTATATTATTATTTTAATATATTTTTTTGTGATAATTTATTTTAATGTTGTCTATTTCTTTTTAACATTTATTTTGAGAGGGTTTATTTTAATGTCTTATATTATTTTATATATAGATATTTTTTAAGTAATTTTCAAATCTTTTTATTTTCTCATAATATGTACTAGCAAAATTCCTAAATTTGCTATTCAAAATTAATTCCGACCCTTCTAATCGTCAATGCCTTGATTTGATATGAACCCGAGATATAAAAATTTAGGAGATTTATTATAATTACATTAATAACTTAATATAAAAAAATTTCCATTATTATGATTGAACTTTACTCTATAGTGAGAAATGCTTTTATTAATTTATCCATTCTAGTGGGATGTGTTTTTTATAGCATAATTCATAATAGCTCGCAGATGTATAATTAAAACATTTTTTAAAATAAATTTACTTTTTCTAAAATGTTTCCTTCTAAATATATTGAAATAAAGAATCCGGCATCGGTTATTTTGTATATCAACTATCTGTAATATCTCTGCACTGCTCGCCCTCTCCTCTAAACCCCATTATTATATATATATTTAAAAAAAAAATTAGAATGACGCTCTCGTACGCCAAATAATGAAAGTTAAGGTATAAATTAATATTTTATCTTATATAATTTCGATTTTTAAAATAATATATTTATGATTCACAAACTTTTTTAGAATGTAACTGGTTAGCAGTAGCCAAAAATTTGTAAAAATTTTTAAGGAAAACCGTTATTTTCTAACTTTATCACCATTATTCTATTTTTATTTCCATGTTGAATTTTAGAACGACAAAAAACAATCTCTTTTTACGGGAGATAATAAAGAAGGGGAAGATGATAATCTAGTTTTTGAGAAATATTGTAAACACATCTACAATGATAACAGTCATCGAATGAGGACCCGATCTATTTTGTGTCATATCTATTATTGCGCTTTGCACGATGATTGGTTCAAAGCCCGGGACTTGCTGCTCATGTCCCATTTGCAAGATACTGTTCAACATTCAGATTTACCGACTCAGGTTTTGTTACACTTTGAATTTATATGTGATCATGATTTGATATTAAAATTTTTAAAATCATTTTTACAATCGCCAATATTTTGGTTTGAAAATTGTGAAACTATATTTAAATTCATGAGGATGAAAAATATCTTGATATTTAATTATCAAGATTTTGCAATTATCAAACACGTAATGGAAAGCCCTCACCCTTAAGACTCCTTATAGAAGCATTCCCTTGTAGGCTTAAAGTGGATCAGAACATTTACTACATAATTATTTTTTTTATAATTTTGGAGACCTTAAATGATTTTGTAGAAAGTGTACACCCCTGTGAGAGTTTTGTCACTCTTCTAGCTTTTATTATATTTTTATATTATACATGTTGTTAAACGTTACTTTTTTTCCTTAACACATTTTTTTAAAAGAAGTAACTCATAGAACTTGAGCGGCTATTTTATGTCGCTTAATAAAAAAAAGTTTTTATTTAAAGTTTTTTAAAAATATAATTGGCGGTTGAAGATTGTAGTGTCATACATATCTCTTCTTTTCCAGCATTACAATTTAGAATTTTTTAAAAATTTTTACCAGTCCTGTCATATTTTAAAATTAGGGGATAACGGAGAAATTATTTCTCATAGATTTAATAGTTATAGTATTCTTAGAGCTTTTGTACTCTTAAAAACGCGATATGGAACAATATGCTCAACCTAAATATCAAAATTGATGTAGTAGACTACTCTATATCCTAAAATACATAGGACATTACACTTAATATAATTGATAACCATACCCTGAAAATTGAATTATTTAAAAAAGCCGTTTAATGAATCACATTTGACTTTTATAAATGATTAAAATTGCTCTAATCTATCTTATTATTATATTTGATCAATATCGAAGGCTAGTGTGTTTTAACAAATTTTGAGTATATAAATTTATAAAAATTTAAGTTCCTTTTTTATATTTAATATGTTTATAAAGTTTTTCCTCATTTATCAAAAATATAGATAAAAATTAATTTTATCTCATTCATAATGGAATTGACCGATTTATGAATTTTGGGTTAACCAATATACACGGAGAGGCATAGTTTAGGCATTTGATGATATTTTAATCGAGTTAATATTATTTTATAAGTATTAATATTCAATAAGGAATTCGATCATGTATAAGTAGGGGTGGGACCAATACCAATATAATATTGGTTTACAATACCAATACCAATTACATAAATATATTGGTTTTGATATATTGTTTAAATACAATTTTAACCAATACCTACCAATATTAAAAATAACATAATTATTTGGGTTTATCGTGGATAATTATATCGTGGTATTTTTTTTATTTTCATTGCAAAAACTGATTACATCTGTTATTTCTTCCAAATACTACTGTGATATCAATATTTCTGTTATTTATAATTATAGTTTATTTTTATTATGGAAGTAAATTTTTTACATGATATCTATCAATTATTTATTTAAGATATTATAATAAATGAAGACCAAATAGAGTTAATAAATATAGATGCTGTTGGTACTAATAATAATAGCGATAAGGAACAAGAAGAATTATCAATATCGAATAAAAGACGAAATTCAGCAAAAATCTGGGAATTTTATACTACTTGTGATAATAAAAAAAAGGCAATTTGTAATAAATGTAAAAAAAAATATCACTTCCCAATTTTGGAACCTCAGGATTATGGACACATCTTAAATCCATCCACCCAACATTATATAAGAAATGTGAGCAAATAAATATTGGCAGTAAAAAAATTAAGACAATAAAATCATTATTACTTAATAATATAAATAATAAAGCTAATTTAAATAATTTAATTATAAACTTTTTTATTCAAAATAATTTAGCCTTTTCAATAGTTGAGGATATCACTTTTAAAAATTTAATAGCATATTGTAACCCTTCACTAACATTAGTTTCTAGAAAAACACTAAAAATAGAAATTATGAAACATTATCATAGTTATTTTATCAATTTAAAATCTGTACTTTCTAACATTACATCTAAATTTTCCTTAACAATGGACATTTGGTCCTCTCCAAATAAAATACCCTTTATGGGCATAACAATTCATTATATTGATAATGATTTTAAATTAAATAATCATTTATTAGATTTTATTCCTTTTAAATCAGCACATAATTCTATTAATATTTTTAATTCTGTATTAAAAGTAAAATATGAAATTGATTTTTTTTGCATTACATCAGACAATGCAAGTATTAATTTAGCATTTCTAAAAATTTTAAAACAAAAAGATAATTTTGATAATTTCTGCAAATGCTTTTGCCATATTATACATTTGGCTGTCATGGCTGCATTGGAACCCTTAAATACAGCTTTAAAAAAAATAAGAAATTTTTAAAAATTTTTAAACTTTCTATATCTAAATTTAATAAACTCGAAAAAATATATCTTTCCACACTTAAAATTTCCTCACCCAATTTTGGATATACCAACACGTTGGAATTCAACATACCAAATGCTTGAAAGAGCAATATTGCTCAAACCCTATTTGACAACATATACCAATCATTTACAAAATACAAATCAAGAAAATTATATTAGTGCCTTAGCCTGGAATAATATAAAAATATACCGAGAATTTCTGGAACCATTTAATTTTGCTACAGAGATGGCCTCATGTGCTAATACTCCAACAATTTCAACAATTATTCCTTTATATTCCAGTATTTTTGAGCATGTTGAGAGTTATAATAATAATTCTAATGCTATTTTAAAGACAGCTTCTTTAGCTGCCTTAACAAAACTTAATAAATACTATAATTATAATAAACACCTCTTTATTATTTCAACAATGATTGACCCAAGATTTAAACTATCAAGTCATTTATTAAAGCATAATAATATGGAAACTCTTATTGGATATCTTACTAATGAATACAATATTTATAAAATAAATAATAACAATTCAGCGGAACTTACAAATGAAGCACAAAATAACAAAAAATTATCCTTTTATGACAAAATTTATCAGGTGAAACCTCATAATAATAACAACTTAGAAATAAGTAAATATATAGATGAAGCCACAATTACCAATGATACAAATCCATTAGATTGGTGGAAATTAAATAAAAATAGATATCCAGTATTATCAAAAATTGCCAGAGATTATCTAGCAATTCCGGCCACCTCATCTAGCTCTGAAAGGGCTTTTTCAGAAGGACGGTATGTTATAACAGACCAACGTTGTTCACTAGATGAGCATACTATACAAGCTTGCCTGTGCCTAAAAAGTTGGATGCGCATGCAAGATTCTTCTTAAATACATAAAATTATTTCCTCTTTTTATATTAAAATTATATCATTCTTTTGCATTATATTTTGTATAAATAGACAGTTATGTTACATTTTTAGTTTACTTATTTTGCTATGTTCTTTGTGATAAATCAAATGGTTCAAAATCAATACGTTTATTATTGTTGATACAAAAAATACATGATTAAATCAAAATTTTTTATATTCACATCACCTAATAAATTCCTAGTTTAAAAAAAGAATTTGAATTCAGTAAAATTTTGAGAGTTGGTTCTTAGCCCTGATTTTATGGTATCATGATTTTTTTTCCCATGTTTATTTAAAATTAGAAATTAAGGGTTTTATAATCACTATTTCTATTCTTTTAATTTAATTTGAATTTAAACCAATACCAATATAAACCAATAGTTACCAATATAATACCAATACCAATAGCAATACCAATACAAGAAATAGAAAATATTGTTTAAACCAATACCAATATTTTAGACCCAATACCAATACAATATTTTGTTAATATTGGGTTTTTACTATTGGTTCCCAGCCCTATGTATAAGTACTCTTATAAATGATAAATGTTTGTACTCCTTTATTCATATATATTAATTGGTGATCAAGAACTAACCAGTTTATAAAAAAAGGTAGCACGCCTATACTTTAACAACTCTTATATTATAATTGCGTAAGTTAAATGGGTTTATGGTTATAAATTTTTTTTTTGTTATATATCAAACCGTAATATAATAGGTACAATTTAAATTAGTTATTTATGTAGGAAATATAAAAATGTAACTATATCGATTTTTGTTAAAATGATAATACTCAACTATAATTATATCTCCAAAAATTAGACCCTTTACAACCGCACCATGGTACAGATGGGGCTTTGTGCATTTCGTCGTGGCCTGCTGAAAGAAGCCCACGACGCTCTCCTAGATATTCAAAGCAGCGGGCGGGCCAAAGAATTGCTCGGACAGGGCTTGATTAGCGCCAATCCTATGGCCCGGAACCTTGATCCTCTCACGCCCGAACAGGAAAAGGCTGAACGCACTCGTCAAGTACCATTTCACATGCATATCAACCTGGATGTTGTCGAATTTGTTTACCTTTTTTGTGCTGTCTGCATTGAGACGCCTTACATCGCACGTTAGTAACACTTATTTCAATATCATATAAATATAGTAGGTATTAATATTGTATAAAATAAATATTTAAATTTAGACCCTAAGAAATAATCTCCTTAAAATTCTAGTTTCTAATTCCACCCATAAAATTACAGAATGGATTTTTTTTTAAACAAAGACTATGCATCTAGTTAATATTAATATGTTTAAGAATATTGCATGACAGTCTAGCTCATGATTTTTTTTATCCACTGAGCCTATATGATTTAATCTTTAGCTTACCAACTTTCTCCATATTCAATTATAAAAACTTTCAGGTTTATTTTATTCCGCTCGAATTAAATGATGTGTTCTTAATGTATCAAAGAATAACTTAAAAAAACCTGGGAACTTGGAAATACTTCCGCTATTTCTCGAATAGACACATTGGACTCTATGCATAAATTTGTATAAGAATAAATTTCTTTTATTGTAACACTTATTTTTCTCTAACATCTGCCAATCTGCTATGTTATTGAGTTATATAGTTAAAAAAATTCTTAGAAATTTTTGTAATAGAATTTTTTTAAATTACAAAACATAACAATCGAATTATTATCTTTTCCTAATTTATCTACAAAAAATAAGCATATACATATTTCTATTAAAAATTATTATCATTCATAAAAAGTTCAGTCCAATTTGCAGCCAATAATGTATTTCTTGTTGTTTCTTCAAATCCCATTACTTGAATATTCTTACATAAAAAAGAATTTTTTTCCTAACAAATTGTGTATGCGCAATGTTATATACATATCTCTAGAATCTAAAATTATAACTAATAAAAAGTTGGCTTTGCAATATTATAAAAGACAGAAAACATAAGTAAAATTTTTTTTGTAACAAACTTTGTATATTTCTGTCTATTTTGTAAAAAAATTATAATTTTTTTTTCATTATTTAAAAATATCTATTATGTTAATGATGTGTAATAAAGTGAAATAAGAAGTATACCTGCTATTATTTTGTATAAAAGGTTTACTGCACTCTTTTGGTAAGGGAAATTATATCTTTTGTCTGATAGGTTAAAAAAATAGAGATCCGAAGAGATCCGAATCTCCTAACCATGCAAACATTACTGTATTTTCGAACCCGAATTCTGGTTGAGAAATTTATAATGCTTGGTGGGAGATTTTGATAATACAAACCAGATTGGGACCTATATATATAGACAACTCATTTAACCTGGGGTAGGTTTTGATCCCTCAGAAATTAGTTTCAATTAAGTTTCTTTAAAATTTCCGCCTAAATAGAGTTAAACATTTTTGAACCTAAATTCGGGGTTGAAGCCCTGCTTTTCTCTTCAATAGAATTGACCCCTAGATGGACTTTAACTTTATAATAATTAAGTGATGAAATTAATATAAGTTTCTTATGATTAACTATTTTTTTCATGATAGAGGGCGAACTGGAGCGACGTCGCATGGCCAGTAAAAACTTTTATTACCAGCTTAAGCAGAGCGAGAGACAATTGTTGATCGGTCCACCCGATAACATAAGGGACCATGTCGTAGCCGCTCACAAGGCTATGAAAGTGGGGGACTGGAAAGCTTGCAAAAATTTTATTGTCAATGACAAAACCAAAACTAAAGTTTAATAATATTTTATAATATTCTTTATTTATATAACGTATCTAAAAGTGCCCTCCTATTTAACCCGGTCTTAAACAGTCCTCTATCAGTTTGATCTCTAAATTAATTTGTTTATTAATCTTAAATTTTCTTCTGAAAGATGGTCCTTAGTGTAGAATTTTGACCACACTATTCTTCAAGCTCTTGAGTATCGTGGTTTCCTAAATGATGTTCGCTTTATTAATTTAACTTTGCTCAGGTGTACATTCTTATGTTTCTTTAATTAAAAAATAATAATAATCGGACCTTTATCTTCCTTAACTTTTAACATGACTTTTAAAAATAGTTTTACTAGAAAAAATTTAGCAAATGCGTTACATCACATCAGAATTGTTAAATGATATTTTTGAAATAGATTTAGATATAGATATGTAGTCTAAAAATGGATCTAAATACTTTAACAACTCTGCATCACACAGTATAATCCATCTATATAAGCTATTCCATAACATTTTTATTTTTGGTACACAAAATATTAATAGTTTTCAATGTTTAGCCTTTATTTATACCAGAAAAGACCTGCAGAACTCAAAATTTTAGACCTAGCCTGGATTTAGAAAATTTTTTTTTGAAACCCTGTTCCGTTCTTTAGGAAGCTTTTTTGACCCAGTTCGGATTTACGTTTTTGATGATTATTTTATTATTTCGAATAATTATTTTGTTTTAAGGAGGAAAATAGGTAATATGAGCAGTAGGTTATTAAACGCTTCTATTATATGATTTTCTAATCTTTTTCATCTAATTGTTATAATTTTTTTAAAAATCTAAAAATCGGCTCAATTTTCAACTCCATCCTAGATTATTAAATTCATACCATTTTTCCGGGCCGAGACTGAAGGTCTCTGATTTTTACATCAATAACCTTCAATTTAACTAGCATCAAAAATGTTTACTGGTCCTAACACTTTACTATAATATTACATTACATATTATTCTATTATATTAATAAGGTTTGGGATTTGTTTCCCGATACAAACAATATATGCGAGATGATCACCCAAAAAATAAAGGTAGAGTGTTTGAGAGTTTACCTTTTTTCTTACGGTAATTTTTACGATTCCATCGATTTGAAAATTTTTTCGGAAATGTTTGATATGGATATTCCGACCATCACCAACATCATCAGCAAAATGATTATAAACGAAGAAATTATGGTATTTAAATCACCCACTCAACATTAATAATTATATTCATTACTTCAAGAAAGAAAGAATAATTTCCTATCAAATCGACGAAGGGATATTTTCACTGATAAAAATTAATATTGAATCGAAATTTGACACTTCATAACTTATTTAGCCCGAGATACAAGAGGTTAAAGGTGCATAAAAACGCCATTTTTTAAAATATCATTTTCTAATATTAAACATTTAGTTAATATAAAAACGAAGTCAATTTGAATATTTGGTATATATATTTACTATATAAAAGATTGACGAATAGTAAGGGAGAAAATGTAAATTTAAAAAAAAATATTTTTATCGGTAATTAAATTATAACTAAATTGCCTAATATGATTATAACTTCTAATTGCGACTTATTAACTGATTACCGAATGCTTCCCTCAATAATATGCGTGAGAATATCTTTAAAAAACTAACGCAAATAATTTGTAAAAATAGTATTTTAAATATAAATGACTTTTTAAAAATTGTTTTATAATTTCTTTTTATCACACATGATATTACTCATAAATAGATTATTATGTCTTTAAATATTTTAAAACAATGATAAAAGTCTTTGGCTGCATTAAAGTATAACGCCATCTTTAATTTCTTAGGCCTATTATAAAGGGTAATTGTAAATATTATTTGCTGCGCAAAGAATTGAAGGAAATATTAGGTAATCCGTTAATTAACAATAGAAAAAATTGAACTAATCATAGAAATTTTTACTGAACATAAGATAATCATATTTAACATTTTTTGTTTTCCCCCTAATGATCAATTTTTTACTTTGTCATATTTATATATACTAAATTTTATATTCAAATCGTTCATTAATAATTATTTAATATCTGAGAAAGGTAAAAATGACGTTTTTGCTCATTTGGCCCTTAATATCTCAGGTAATAAAATAGCTATCGAGCTCAAATTTCGTTTATGATCCAATCATAACATTTATAATTTTCTTATAAATTTTTATCGAAAATAAAAGGTGAATAATGAGAGGCACATGATTTGATATGAAATGAATGCCTTGGTATCTTATATTATGGGTTCTTTTTAATTTTATTTTTTGTCGAGTCTATTCTAATTTTATTCAAATTTTAAAGTGAAAATTTTTATTATAAAAAAGTTCATTATATTTAATTAAAACGTATGTTCAATTAATTGATTTGTAGTTGAATAATTTTATTCGTTTTCTTATATTTTTTTAAAATATAGGCCTCATTTGATGAACCATCTCAAGCATTGATTATGCATCGTGTTGATCTTAACCGAATCCAATCATTGGTTCTGCAACTTACGGAAAAAGTTGCACAGTTTTCGGACCTTAATGATAAGCTAGCCGAGTTGAAATGGAGCAACCAAGAAACTATATCACTTTATCCTAATAATAGTTTTAAAAAATAATATCTTACCAAAAATTAATTATATCTGTAATTTTATTTTTTATAGATTATTCGATGAATTACTCTTCCAACATGAATTATCAACAAAAAAACTTTTCTGAAAATTATTACTCTTATTCAAATTACAGGAAATAATTCATAATAATATAAAATTTGACTTTTTAAAAAAATAATATTGTTATTATTTAATTTGACAATGGGAAAAATAAATAAAATTAATTTTATTTGCAACTTTGTATTTTTAATAATAGTTACGTTTTAGCAATTAAGGCTATGGCGATCCACAAATTTTTAGTTATTTATTTACGATATATATCATAAAAAAATCAAAATTTTATATCTTTACAAAAACAATTGACCTTCACGAATGATTAAGTTTTTTTATTCTCAAAAATTTTTCATAAAATAAGGGGTATGTTTATGGCTGAACTGAATGTGACTCGTAGATATGTTCAAATCCTTTTCTTTGTTGCAGATACTTAGCAAAAAATTAATATCAAATTTTTAAATGCTCTATTTGTAAATTGATTACTGTTTCCTTTTTTTATTTTATTATTATTAATAAAATTATAATATAAAAAATATATAATTATTAGTGTTTTACCGATCTACATATTTTTCACCGATCCAATATTTTCCGATATCGGCTCAAAACCGATATCGATCCGATATTTATATTGATTTTTCACCACCCCTCTTTTGAATTAAATATAATTAAGAAATCAATATTTTTTTACAAAAAATCGAATTATTCATTTAATTTAATTTTTTCATTTCTACAATAATTAAAAAAAGTTTAAGGATATTTGTAGCAGAGTTGTTAATCTAGATACTGTATATAGATATTAGAATGTGGTATCTGTATCTAGATATTATTTTAGAGGTATCTGTATCTGTTTTCAGATACTTTTTAAGATACATTTAGATATATTTCTATTTAACGCTTTTTTATATTATAAATAAAAATACTTGAATGAAAAATTTATTTCATTTCATATGAGCATATAACTTAATATTAATATATATATTTAAAAATTATACGTATATGTAAAATATTAAAAATTATACATATATGTAAAATATTAAAACTTATATATAAAAAAGAATATATAAATATTAATTAAATATTATGTCCTAGTTATCAATAACAAGCAATGTCTGATATTACAATCCATCTCAAGGAATTTGCCATTTTTAATTGCAATGGAATTGGTATTTAATTTTATTCTATTATATTAATTTTTAAGATTAATATTGATGACAATGATGACATTCTTCCATGGCCAATTTATAGACCATATTTTAAAATAATATCTCAAAATAAAGAAAACAAATCTCTGTTAGTAAAATGTTTGCCATGTCTACCAAAAAATATGCAAATTTCAGTAAGCATTACCTCAACTTGTAACTTTGTAACATTTAAGGGTATAGATACTAAATAAATGTTTACAATTTTAAATCTTAAGAGAAAACATCAAACAGTCTTAATCCAAAAAAAAGGGCAAGGCGAAAAAATCTATTAAAGAAAATATTGGACTAGGCTCATCGTCCATTTATTTTTTTTCCAAGAGACCTCAGACTTTAACCCAAACCATTTTAGATGATTTAATAACTGATTTTATTATAGATAGCATTCAGCCATTTTCAATTGTTGAAAATCCTTCATTTATAAAAATGATCAAAACATTAGCTCCACAAAAACATAATTTGCTGACAGACAGTGGTTGCTAGAATCTCCCAAAGATGGGAGAATGAAAAGAAAGAAATCATTAAAAGTCTAATAGAACTCTAGTTAATATGCACAAGACAGATTGTTGAAGTGCCTATCGCCGGTATGGCTAACATTTAAATTTGTATAATAATTTAATTACAAATAATTTGTATGCAGTTTTTGGTAGAGTGAAGTATATGCACAACACAGATTGTTGAAGTGCCTATCGCCGGTATGGCTAACATTTAAATTTGTATAATAATTTAATATCAAACAAATTGTATGCAGTTTTTAGTAGAGTGAAGTTGCATACGTGTGGCGTGGGAGGCCGCTTCACAACCGGAAGGTATGTTGAAGCCAAGCTGATGGGGAACTAAACGCTCGGTGAGCTTGTTTTTAATGCGGGTACAAATAATTATAGATAATTCGACGGAAAATAGAGCCGACGGCGATTGGGCATATGCCACCATCTTTTTTGTTTAAGGCTTAGGCATGCACCGTGAATAAGAGGTTGTACTGTAGAAGGTATGTTGTCGTTTAAAATATGAATGAGTAGAGTTGTTATGTTGTGTATAAGTTCAATGTTGGTGGTTGTTGATTTGGTAAGGTCTTGAAGGTATATAGCTCTAAAACCGCCAAGTCCTCCTGAGGAGTCTTTTCTGAAAGAGACTATTGCCTTAGTAACTTCTATGACAGTTAAAGGAGGGTAGGAATGAATAGAGGTGGTGGTGGTAATTCATTAAAATCTTGGGGATGTATAGATTATTGTCAGGGGATATGGTGTCTTCGGACACTGCTAAATTTAAAGCTGCTTTAATATAACATGCGTTAATTTTACGGCTGATAAGTTTAGCCTTTAGTTAGATCTTGAAGAGCAAGAGGCATTGCTGTTAGGGATTGGGTTGTTTAATTGACACTTAATTTGTTTTGTTAAGTTCAATTTTGTTGATGGAGCCTTCAAGTGGGTAAAACAAAAGTCAAATAGTTTTTCCCAGTTGTCAACATTTGTGATATTATTATTGAGTGATTGTAGTCAGATTAAGTTTATTGGCTGTGAGTGTTCTAACTCCTCGAGGAATCCAAGATATCGTCAAGGGTAGTGTGTTATATAAATGATCATTTATCCATACTGGGATTGGAGAATTATTGGTAGAGCATTCCAGAGGTTGGGAGAGTGCATCAAAAACAGGTTGAATATTATTATTTAAAGCAGGGTAGCTGTATGAAGGAAGGTCTATTTGGGCTATTGGTAGTGAGACACCTGAGAGAGGACATCATTTTTCCGGGGGCCATGGGTCGCTATTTTCCCATTTTGGTAATAGAAATGTTTTAGAACAGACAGAACATAGTAATAAGTTAAAGTTATTATATAACTTTTTTTTTAGTATTTCTTAAATTTTGATAATTAACAAATTCCAAAAACCTAAATTCTAAGATTTGGAATTTTATAGTTAAATGTCCAAATTTAGAAAAATATTATTAAAATGAGATGATAAAAATAAGGATTTCTGGTTGCTAATTTTTAGAATCACATCGAAATAATTATTTTATTCCAAATTTTATCAAATAATTCTCCGTTTAATGGCGATTTTCAAGTTTATCTCGGTTGACCAGTTTTCCCTCTGATTTAGTCATTAAGAAATGTAGCAAAATTTTTAACAATCGGATGCCCTTCCTGACATCAACACCTTTAGGTTGTTTTTACACCCTGTCGGATTATAGAAAAATGGGATTATTTATGGTCGAAAACCAAGAAAATTTACAAAATGTTGATGTATATTTTCTATTTAAGAGGTAGGATAACAAGAACAATATTTAATATTACCAATTACGATGACAGTTAGAAAAATGTCTCAAAAATAATTTGGAATTTAAAAATATAAAGTCAAGCTAAAAATGGACAATTTTCACAATATTTTTTAAAAACTAATCACAGATGATTAAAAGAAAATATTTATTTCATGAGAGCATTAGTCCAAGATAAAGACTCCTGGTTAGGGTTGCTAGTTCTACCTAGTATACTACCACTTTTTTTTAAAAATAGGTCTAAATCTATAACTCATTTCAACTAACACATTTTTAAAATTTCCGAAATATACCATAAAATCTCCCTTTCTATTATGTTTATCTGTATCTTTTTATATAAAAATAATATAATGTAAATTAATGTCATTTTTTGAATAATTTATAAACATTTTATTTTATAATGTAATCATGGTGATTTTAAATTATTGTTTCCACTTATCTAGGAGTTATTTTAAATTGCTATATTTTTATCAGAGACCTGCAGGCCCGGCTTTAACCCCGCTTCGGCCTTTAATTTTTTTAAATATACCCGGGTCGGGCCTGAAAATTTTTTTAAAAAAATATCCGGGCCGGTTCATATATTTTAAAACCAAATATTTGAAATAGCCATTATTAGCTATAAAAATCAAAAATAATAAAATATATTTTAAAAAAATCTGGGCCAGATCGAAAAAAATTTAAAAAAAAAAAATCCGGATCGGGCCGGCCGGGCCGTACAAATGTTACCTCTGCAGGTCTCTGATTTTTATTAATAATTTAAAAATAAATCTGATAAATTTGTGCTATATTGTATTTCTCTCGATTGATTTAAAAACTTAAAAAAAGAAGGGGTCCAAACTAAAATACAATATAGTTCTGCCTATTACCATGCTGAATAATTAAGAAACAAATGTTAATTAATTTAGCTTATCTGAGTTCGTATAATTTCAATGGATAAAAGAAATTATTAGGTATAAATAAACCATAATAAAATATTTTACAGGTGAGACTTGGATGAAGCTTAGGCGAAAGCGCCTCGGCAAAGGTGGGCAAGTCTGCTTTCACAGGCGAATTCGAAGGAAACGAATATAATTATTTTACACTAATTTTTGTATACTTCACCGTGAATTCGCGCTAACCGCGAACGCAGCATAATAAAAATTTCTATCACAATTTAAAATTTTTGACCTGGAAGCCTTTCACCTGACATTAATAAGCCACCTGTCCCTCAAATCCCAAGTCTACGCTATTTCTAAAAAATAAGGATTCCTAATAATTAGGATTTATATAAAAATATATGCAGTGATATATATATATATAAAATAACAAATATATTGTGTTGAAATTACCATATTTAAGCTTTTTTTTTAAACTATAGTTTAGGATTTGTTTTAAATCTGTTAAAATAATCGGAAAAATTCAAAATTATCTAACAGGAATGTATTACTTAAAAAAATATAATTAATTTCAATTACTTAAAAAATTTTGATATCAATTTTAATAACAATTATATTACCTACAAAATTTTAATATTAATTATAATTTTTTCTTAAATACTGTGTATAACTACATGTTTTTTCTTAAATACTGTATAACTACATGTAATTGTGATTTTATAAGTCAATTATAATTATTACAATTCCTTTGCATCTTATATATGAGATTCTTTCATACAATATTTATTTATCTATGTACAACTAAATCGGATATCCAAATATAATAAATGATATGGGTG